AGGACCTTCCTTGTCTGTGTCCTTCCCCACACCCTCCCCACCTGCTTGTGACAGTCCTTGAAAGCTGGAAAGCTAATCACACCACATCTAGAGGGGTCTCTAATCCCAGGCAAGGGAGTGAGAAATGGAGATGTAATATTGAGGCGCTCCCATCGTCGAGTTGGAAATCTTTCTTTTCCGTTTGATTTCAAGACGCAGAAGTATCCACTTGTTTGGTGGCACTAAAGAAACATGCACACTTAATGTTGTCTGGTAACAAATTAGGAGCCTGAAACCACTACCTCTTGTCTTGCTTAAAGATTAGCCTTCTGGGGTGCCTGGGTGGCTCAGTCAGTTAAGCGTCTGACTTCAGCGCAGGTCACGATCTCACGGTCCGTGAGTTCGAGCCCCGTGTCGGGCTCTGGGCTGATGGCTCAGAGCCTGGAGCCTGCTTCCAATTCTGTGTCTCCCTCTCTCTCTGCCCCTCACCCATTCATGCTCTGTCTCTCTCTGTCTCGAAAATAAATAAACGCTAAAAAAAAAAAATTACAATAAAGATTAGCCTTCAGGATCTCCTGATTAACACTCACAACCAACAAAACATGTTAACCCAGTCCTTATTATATCCAGTCCTTTCCACACATTGTTAGGGTCTGCAAATTGGCTTAGCTCATTCACCCCAAGTTCCGTCAGCCCAGGCAAATACAAATGCTCTGAGCGAGGACTCACCACCTCGAACATTTAGGGCAGTCCATCTTCCAGCTGCCTGACAAGGAAGCAGCATCTACTGAGAGTAAATATAAATTAGCTAATGCTGAAACTGCAGGAATTTTCAGTCCATATCCTGTGTCTCGAGTGATGCTTCCCTCCTCCAGCTATTCATTCAGACATTAATTCTAGGTCTCTCTGTTGCACTCAGGGTTGAACCTTGTGGTAAAATACTAGTGGTGTAGCAACTGCAGGAAGGCATATCTAATTTCCCCGTCAGAGTGGTTTTAATGCTCTCTTTCAGTGGGCATGAAACATGAAAGAAAAGATCAATGGTTATAGGCCCCCAAAAATCTGCAGAGTCAACACATGTGCGAGAAATTACCATTTTAACCTTGAATCATTTTAGCCAAGAAGCAGAATCTATTTTTACTGCTTATGACCAGTAGTACTGAACTGACCATGGGATGTTGATCTGAAGGGAAAGGAAGGCCTCGTGAAAACTGTAGTCCCCGGTGTAAATTGGGAAGTACACGGAGAACCCCAGTTTAGAGGCCGGAAGTGGTGGGGTGGTGAGCTGGGGACAGAGCCTCACAGCAAAGAAAGACCTGGCTGGGCCCTGGAATGTGGTCTGGGAAGCCAGGCCTGCCCTCTCTGGATCTCTGAGAGTGTGAGGGATCAAAGCCCAGGGATAAAGAAACCCTGGGCCCTTTCCACACCTCCTCAGGGCTGAAAGAGAGGCCTGTGTTTCCCAGTTGTAAATGAGGTCATCCTTGGCGAGGTCTGGATGATAATAGCTCCCCTTTACTACGAGCATTCTGTGCGCGCTAGGCGCTTTGCTGACTGCTTTATAGGGAATATGTTCTTTAATCCTCCCGACACCCCCTTGCAGTAGGTGCTATAACTCACTTATAGATGAGGAAATGGAAGTCGGAGAGAGGTTAAATCACTTGCCCAAGACTGACAGCCGGTGGGTGGCAGAACTGGGATTTGAACCCAGAGACTGCCTGGTTTACCTTAACCACCATGCTTTTAAATAGCACTTTGTCCTAATGAAAACTGATTGTGTAATGTCCGGAAAGTTAGAATTAAAAAAAAAAAAAAAATTTACCAGGGGATCTGGAGAAATGCCCTTGATCTTGGTTTCTGGTCTCTAAAAGAAGAATTATGTTATTCTTTATCCACCTACCATACAAAAGTATTTTCAGGATAATGAGTTGGTCATCAGGGCTCATAGAATCTTAGATGACTGAAGATGCTAAGCAAAGAGCAAATGAGTTTCCACCTCCCTACTCAAGACTTAAGTCCCCAAACTGGGGCCGGCTTTAATTTAGTTTTTTTTTTTTTTTTTTTTTTAATATTTACTTATTTTGAGAGAGAGAGGGCATGCCTGTGCATGCATGTGTGCAAGGGCACAAGCAGGGGCATAAGTGGGGGAAGGGACAGAAAGAAAGGAGGAGAGAGAATCCCAAGCAGGCTCCACACTGTCAGCACAGAGCCTGGCATGGGGCTTGATGCCATAAACCATGAGATCATGACCTGAGCCGAAATCAGGAGTCAGACACAACCAACTGAGCCACCCAGGTGCCCCTGGGGCAGCTTTCTGCAACAACCAGTTTGGGATTTTAAAAGCAAATTTTATGTTCCATCCAAGTCAGAAACCAAAAGTTCTTTGTGGACCACCATTAAGGCATTTCTACAGGGAAGTCATCTGACATCTGACTGAAAATATCCCCTCTGAGGCAAGCAGGGTACCCTTTGGGGGGAGGTGGGTACCCAGCCTTTTGTCTTTGAAAACCAGACTTTGATCTCTAGTTGGCCTTGGTCAAGAGGGAGTTTGGTAAATTCTACCCCTTTATTCTCCGTGTCCTCTATCACTTCCTCTGATTAAGAGCTGTATCACTGGGAGATGGGTTATTGCAATAGACTCCAAACTGGTTTCCCTACAGTGTTTTTGAATAGGCGTAGGAAAAGATTAATTTGTATTTCAAGAGATAAAAAAAAAAAAAACTTGCATCTTTTTCCTAAGCTGAAAGAAATGACAAAACCCCAACAGGTAGTATTACGGTATATTTTTCCAGGGAAGTTACAAATTCTGAGTTGTAAACTGCAGTGCAAATAGCATTTTTAAAGGTTTCAAGGGAAATATAAGAAATAGATGGTTTTGAAATTTTCATATGGTCATAAGAAGAAGGTATTTTGGAAAAAGATCCAGGAAATCTTCCCTTGTGAACATAAACACCACAAATACATACACTTGTCCTTTTTGATTTAGTTATCTCGTTTTTGAAATTTATCCTTAAGAAATTATCCAAAATCCATTGGGCGCCTGGGTGGTTCAGTTGGTTAAGCATCCCATTCAGTTGGTTGAGCTCGGGTCATGATCTCACAGTTTGTGAGTTCGAGCCCTGTGTTGGGCTCTATGCTGAGAGCTCAGAGCCTGGAGCCTGCTTCAGGTCTGTGTCTCCCTCTCCCTCTGCCCCTCCCCTGCTCATGCTCTCTCTCTCTCTCTCTCTCTCTCTGTCTCTCTCTGTCTGTCTCTTTCTCAAAAATACATAAACATTAAAAAAAATGATCCAAAATCCAGAAATTAAGATGTCCATTGCATAGTTTTTATAATAGCAAAATACTTAAAATAGTCTATATATGCCCTGTCTACACACACACACACACACACACACACACCTGACAGAATGTGTATTTATTAAAAATTATAAAAGCCATGGAGCAACAAGAAAATGCTCATGATATAAAGGAAGAAGATACGTAAAGTGATACTGTGCCACGAAAATTATATATTTTTTCATTTCTAGGATTTCTATTTGATTTGCTTTTGACTCTGTCTCTTCACTTTTCATACCAAGCTCTTCCTTCCTTATGGTCACTATTCTTTCCATTGTCTTAGCACCTTTATTTATTTATTTTTTTTTAAGATTTTATTTTTGGGGCGCCTGGGTGGCTTGGTCGGTTGGGCATGCAACTTCGGCTCAGGTCATGATCTCACGGCCCGTGAGTTCGAGCCCCGCGTTGGGCTCTGTGCTGACCGCTCAGAGCCTGCAGCCTGTTTCAGATTCTGTGTCTCCCTCTCTCTGACCCTCCCCTGCTCATGCTCTATCTCTCTCTGTCTCAAAAATAAATAAACGTTAAAAAAAAAAATTTTTTTTTTAAAAAGATTTTATTTTTAAAGTAGCCCTCTGGGTGGCTCAGTCAGTTAAGCATCTGACTGCGGCTCAAGTCATGATCTCACGGTTCGTGGGTTTGAGCCCCGCATCGGGCTCTGTGCTAACAGTTCAGAGCATGGAGCCTGCTTCTGATTCTGTGTCTCCCTCTCACTCCACCCCTCCCCTGCTCATACTCTGTGTCTTTCTCTCTCTCTGTCAAAAAATAAACATAAAAAAAGGAAAAAAATATTTTGTTTTTAAAGTAATCTCTACACCAAACGTGGGGCCCAAATTTACAACTTCGAGATCAAGAATTGCATGCTCTCATGCTCTACCAACTGAGCCAGCCAGGTGCCCCCCAACCCCATTGTCTTAGCATCTTAAATGCACTTTCTTGAATATTTCAGATTTTTTTTCAGGGTACTGATTCTCTTGTTTGTTGTGGTGTTCTTTTCCTTGGGCCTGGGCCATCTGAAATTTTCCTATGAGCATTACTTCACTGTCTTCAAGGGTGGTTATCTGTGGGACTCCATCATTCCCTGGCCTACGAGGATGTGGTTTTGCTTGGCCCCTGCCTAGACTCTAGTAATTTCAATGGCCCCAGGCAGATAGTGTATTTCTGTACCACTTTCCCGGGATAGTTGGTTGAGTCTGAATTTATGCTGAGAGTTCAGTTCCCTAACAAGGGCCTGAATATTGTCTTTTACCCCTAAGGGATTAAGTTTCCAGCCCCAACCTCTAAAGCCTTTACTGATTTCCTGCCCGTTGAGCCTGTGGGTTCATGTCTCATTAATTGCTAGGGTCTGCTTTGTTTCTAGCACCTAAACTTCCTTCTCTGCCCTCAAACTCTGCCGTTCATTAAAAAAGTTTCTGCTTTACCTATCATTTCCAGGCTTGTAGAGCGATGTCCCATCCACACCGTATTGACCAGAAATACTTATTTTTCCATTTACTGCAACTATGTGAAAATATATGTGAATATAACCAGAGACCAGAAGGTGACTTTGAAACTGAAATGATTTATTATGGGTAGAGATGGTGGGTTTATAGCAACCATCTTTCTCTATTTTGCAACTATTCTGTATTGTCATGATATTGTCTCTAAAACAATATAAGAAGCATCATCTTTTTCACCATTGTCTTTTGTTTCAGAATGCGTATGCTGCAACTGCCATTAATGGGACAGATTTTTGTACATCAGCAAAAGATGCGCTCAAACTCTTATCCAAGAATTCAAGTCATTTCACATCTGTTAACTGCTTTGGAGACTTCATAATTTTTCTAGGAAAGGTGAGATGTCCTCACTAAAATAATAAATAGAGAAACTTGTGATCCAGACGTTAAGCCACAGAGCTAGACTTGAAAGAGAACGAACGTTTCTTGAGTGCTTGCTCTATAGTGGATGCTGTGCCTTATTCTCTCATTTAATCCTTAGTCCTGTGAGGTAACTTATTTTGCAGATGGGAAAACTAAGGCTTAATAACTTGTCCAGGATCGCACAATGGGTAGAGTCAGGATTTGCATCCTAACCCTTCTCTCTCGGCAATGCTCAGTTCTCTAGACCATTCTAGCTCCCACTTTTTCATAGCTAAAATGAAAATGCTACTAGCCTCATTAAATGGATATATTTTGGGGGGCTTCTGTCATAAAACATATGGAAATAGTACTGAAACCTAATGAAATGTCTGGATTATTTAAAGGCATTCAGTCCATAAATACAAAGGCAGGTTGTTAACGTCCCAAGTGGAGCCAGAGGTACATTTCCACTGTCATCTGAATAGCATTTTTCAAGGAATTGTGTGTAGTCTTATGTGCAGTGCAGTGAACGAGCATCTTAGAGCTCTATCTCACGTGTAAAGGACAAGGCCTGAACTTGGGGTCTTTAACAACTCCAGACCTCAGGCTGGACCAAAGATAACACGTGTCCTTTCTAGGTTAACTAAAATATAGATGCAACTGGTATGATAGCCTCTAACTGACCATGCTTCAAGCTGAAGGTTCTTTACACTGGACCACATGGTGTGTCCCTTTGCTTGTGATTGTCACCCACGGGGCCTAATTCTGCACACCTGTTTGCCTGATCCCACTTCCACTTGATTGCCTGCCCTTCGAATCCCTGACCCCAGACCTCCTGACCTTCCTGCCACGTCTGTGCTATTCCAAGCTAGACATCCTGGCTCCTTCCAACCATTCCTTCTCAAGGACGTGAATGCTGAGGCCTTCAGTGGTGCCCCAAAGTGAACAAGATCTTGGTCTCCAGTTGTGACCCAGCCACAGCCAAATGTGAGGACTCCTGGCTCATTTAGCATTTTGTGCCTCCGTGGTGTTTGGTAAATGTCTCTGGTGTATTAAGTAACAAGTTATAACATGCACGGATTTCACAGGTGTGTGTGTTAGTTGCACATATATTTTAAGACTCAGATGGGCCCCCAGAGATTTTTCATGCAACGGTAGCTCAAACTGATTATGCCTTTCAAGACAGCCTAAATCATCTAAGTTGCAGTTGTTTTTAAATGGATAATATTGCCTATGTTAGTTTGGTAAGATGTTCTCTAATAACTGCTTCCAAAAATTTTAGAATGAGGTTTCATCTTTATAACAGAATTATCTTTTATTTTAGGTAATAATTCATTTTCCTATATTTCCCATAAGGAACATGTAATTGCTAACTAATAAGCTTCTAGTGAGCATGTAACAACCAGTGATTTTTTGTTTTTGAATGAAGTCCCATTCGGACATTCATGTCCGTCTTTGTGGGTATCCGAGGGCAACGAGGATTCCAGATGGACTCCGTACTCCATTTTATTTGTTTAAGAATTAGGTATAAAAATTTTTTTAAAAAATATAAAAAGGAACATCATGGTCCGTAATCATGTTGCTGGAAATATAATTACATATGGCAAAAGCCTGGATTAATCCTATTATCTCCCCACACCAGCACTGGAAAGCCCTTCCAGTAATCCCTAGGGTAAAAACAATCACATATTAAATCACAGTATACCCACCCAGTGGATTGTTGCACTGTTATTTAAAAATGGCACTTATTAAAAAGTATTAAATGAAGGCACGCCCGGGTGGCTTAGTTGGTTGAGCGTCCAACTCTTGATTTTGGTTCAGGTCATGATCTCACAGTTCGTGAGACTGAGCCCTGCGTCAGGATTCTCTCTCCCTCTGTCTCTCTGCCTCTGACCAGCCTGTGTGCACACACACGCACGCACGCTCTCAAAATCAATCAACAACAACAACAAAAGTATCAAATGAAGATGCTTATGGGAGTGGCACGTGAAAAAACTAAAAATTTTCAGCTTTCATTACATCTATATAAATACAAAAGCTAGGCACAGATAAAAAATGTAAATACATCTACTCTCTTATCCTTACTCTGAATTAACTGGGTCGTCTTGTGGTATCATAGCTCCTTTTTTTCTTAATTTCATTGGACCACATTTTCTGACAAGCCTTCTTTACAACAGGGCACCCACACACGCATGTATATGAAACTACTACTTGTAAATGACAGAAAGCATTTCTCAAATATTCTGGCCAATTTATAAAGGTTCTCAGCGAAGTCTTGTTTTGCCAGGTGTTGGTGATGTGTCTCACTGTTTTTGGAGGACTGATGGCATTTAACTACAACCGTGCCCTCCAGGTGTGGGCAGTCCCTCTGCTGCTGGTTGCTTTTTTTGCCTACTTTGTAGCCCATAGTTTCTTATCTGTGTTTGAAACTGTGCTGGATGCACTCTTCCTGTGTTTTGCTGTTGATCTGGAAACAAATGATGGATCATCGGAAAAGCCCTACTTTATGGACCAAGAGTTTTTGGTAAGCAGACATCTCACTTCCTGCTGCAGTCTCTATCCTCAAAATCTCAAAAAGTGTTGAAGACTCACACGTAAAGGAGGCTTGTACCTAGCCTCGTTCGTTCTTCCAGAGGGCTCTGTGTGCTTCTGCCACTGGCCTGAAGGTCTAGAGTGAGATTTGGGTTCTGTTTTCTGAGCTGAACCCACTTCCCTTATTGGAAACTCTCCCTGGAGAGAAGTGAAGCTGAACAATTAATACGGACCAAATGACCTTGGGCAGGTGTTCTGGACAGAGCAGTCCAAGTCCCTTTGGTGCTGTTGGCCGGGTCCGGCTTTTTGGGTGGTCTGGAGGTTTAACGGTTGATCTTTCTCTAAAGCATTTTTGCCTCCTCAAGCGTCATAACAGACCCTTTGTGTTTTAGGGGGCACACACATCACCATCTGTGCCAGTATTGGCAGATCTGAGGTTCTCAGGCCTTTTATTAACTGAGGCCCCACCGATGCAGGAAAAGCCACACCCTGTCAAGTCCCTTACAGCTTCTATCTGGAAATAGCACGCAGCTGTTTCCAACACAGTCGTTGCCTATTTGTCTTATCAGGAGTAGACAGGGATATTTTAACAACTGAATGAAGTCTCTTGGTTGTCTGGGTCAAGTGAGTTTTAGTACTTTTATTCTGTTGTCATAAAACCTAGGTGTTAAAGCCCATTTGATATTTTTAAGATTTTATTTATTTTTAAACTATTTAGTGTTTATTTTTGGGGAGAGAGAGTGGAAGTAGGGGAGAGGCAGAGAGAGAGGGAGACACAGAATCTGAAGCAGGCTCCAGGCTCTGAGCTGTCAGCACAGACCCCGACATGGGGCTCGAACTCACAAACCGTGAGATCATGACCTGGGCTGAAGTTGGACGCTTAACCGACGGAGCCACCCAGCTGCCCCGTTAAGATTTTATTTTTAAGTACACTCTGTACCCAACATGGGCTCGAACCCACAACCCTGAGATCAAGAGTCTCATGCTCCACCGACTGAGCCAGCCAGGCGCCCCTAGCCCCTTTGCTTTTAAACAGCATTCAGAGCACTCCGTGGCTCAGCCAGGCAGTGAGGTTTAACAAGCACATCTGTGGTTTTACAATCAAATAGATTCTCCACCTCCTCCAGAGAAAACCTAAAAATACAATAGCACTTTATTTGTATCTAGCCTAAAGAAATTCTTCCCGATGATGGTAGGAAGCTAACCGAGGCTTCTTTCTCAGATTTATACTTTTCTGATTACAAATCCACTTGGGAATCTACCCCCTAAAAAACTTAAATTCAACAGGGAAAACTTTAAGGATTAAATTCCCCTAAATGATATGGTCAAATAAATAGTTGCGGTTGGTGCAGATAGCGAACACTGGTCTAACTCATTCTTTTATTTTTCAGAGTTTTGTAAAAAGGATCAACAAGTTAAAAGACACGAGGGCACAGGGGGAGGAGAACTCACTAAGGAACGAGGAGGGAACAGAACTCCAGCCCGTTGTGTGATAGGTGCCCATTAGAGTGTTGCCCCTGGAAAGTGTCCTTCTTCTAAGAGCCATTCACAGAATAAATGGTAAGGCCGATAGACCCTATTCTTCACTGTCTTTGTCCTTATTGTTTGGCCATTATAATACCAGAACCATAAAAGTATATCCTATTCCAGATTCAGTAGTTCCTTATCGATGTATATCCACCTTGGGGTATGAATATAAAATACTCCCACCCCGTCCCCACCAATGTTCCTGAAGATGATTTGAAGATTATTCCAAGTTGGATTTAAGGTGCTTTTGAGGCACGTGAGTCTCGATGGAGTAAGCGAGGGCCAAATAAGAGTCAAATACTAGTTTGAATCTTGGCTGTCCTTTTCTGTGTACGATGGGCAGGTCCCTACGGTTTCCCAAGCCTCAGTCTCCAGCATAGAGTGCATTGTTGTGTGGATTAAGTAAAGAAATGATAAAGTATCTTATAAGACCTGGGAAAGAGGACTTTTTAAACAAAATCTGCCTTCACCTATCTGGTAGCTAGCCAGAAAATAATCAGCCTGTGGCTCATATGAATGTTCAAAAAAAATATTTATTTATAAAAAATACAACGGGATAAGTTTATGCTGAGAAATGCAGCAATAAATACAGTTGAAGGGAACAGCAACTCTACATTGATACATTGGCACAAACAGGAAGAGCACACACACCACCCAGACCTAACTGTCTGCAGGCCGATTTTGTACACGCTCCTTTAGAAACACCACTCTGAAAAGATCTTGTCGGTTTAGGTAAGAGAATGAGTACACATATAATCACAAATGCACACGGATCAGGACTTTATTTAAAAGTTAGCAAACAATACTGTAGACATTGATATGTAAATTTCTAAAATGCTGCATCTTAAATTTAGTTGGCAAAGACCACATTTAGCTCTAAGCATGACTTTAGTCTTCCACATAGAAACCAGATAACTGTAAAAAAAAAAAAAAAAAAAAAAAAAAAAAAAGCTTCCTATTGTTTGAAAATCCCAGTCTAGTAAGTAGATTGTAAAAATGCATAGGTCTTTAATAAGAGAATTGGCTGTACAAGAGTACTCCCCTTTCACAGTATTCCTTTTTACTTCATATGTGAGTTATTGCTTCTGCTGTAGGATTTAACTGTTACAGCACTAAAAGGGAACTATTTAGGGAAGAGGCAGAAAAAGGAAAAGGGAATGTACGTAAGGCAATATTTCTTTTAGGTACAATAAGCATAATAGTGTTTTAGGAAGACAAGATAAAAATTACTCAAGGCTAGCTTGGTTCTCACTGAATAAAAACGGGCTAAATACTGAGCTCCTCTGTGTAAATCTAATAATCAATGCCTTGGTCGCCATATTGGTAATCTCTGGGGTAGTCATCTTGGTACTCTCCATGATATTCATCTGGGTATTCTGCCTGATAATCACTATCACTAATTTCAGACCCATTTGTTCCCGTTCCTTGGCTTCCATTGTGAATGACAGGTTCTGTGGGAGCGGCACAGTATTTCGGATCATATACTTGCCGCCCAAGCCCATACACACTCATTCCTTTCTGGGAAGCAACTTTGTTGGTTCCCATCTGTAGAGAAATTGTCGAGTTGTCCACCGGTTGTAATGTTAGCTTCTGATCGTAGATGTCTCTTCTGGTACCTGGTGCTAACATTCCCGCCTGGTATTAGAACATAGTATAAAAGTTAAAACAGCAGCTAAAATCTATTCTGCTGAACATTTTCTAAGTTATGAAATTCACATTGTGAACGCTAATGTAATAATAACTTCATTTCAGGGGTAAAGCTAGCTTACCAAATAGTCCTGATGCTGAATCTGTCTTAAATACCAATACTCACTGGCTTTCAAACTAGGTCAGCCCTTCCTTTAAATTTTTTTTTTTTCAACGTTTATTTATTTTTGGGATAGAGAGAGACAGAGCATGAACGGGGGAGGGGCAGAGAGAGAGGGAGACACAGAATCGGAAACAGGCTCCAGGCTCTGAGCCATCAGCCCAGAGCCTGACGCGGGGCTCGAACTCACGGACCACGAGATCGTGACTTGGCTGAAGTCGGACGCTTAACTGACTGCGCCACCCAGGCGCCCCAGTCAGCCCTTCCTTTAAATCCTTGCTCTGCTATAAAACTGCTAGGTGGCCTCTAAACAAGCTAATACTTTTGGTTTTAGGTTTCTCATATGCAAAATGGAGAAAATACCACCTACTTTGGATTTAGGAGAGGATTCAACATAACCAATGTAAAAAGCACAGCGTAATGTGGGCACCCTGGAGAGTTACATGTGAGTACCTATTATGACCACATACACTCTCCAGGCCATCCATTTCAGAAGCTCATCACACATTCAGCAGAACTTATGCCAAGCAGTCCTTAAGGCCTGAAGTCTCAAAGAGCCAGCCACAAGTACAGTAACTCATTTCTCCATTTATGCCAAGCAGACAGTCCAGGTTTAACTGGTAAAAAAGGAAACTTGAATGGCTCCTATACAAGACAGTGCCACATGTGGCAGGACATCTCAACTTTAGGTCACAAGGAGAAAGCTTTTTCAAACCTTATCCCCCACTCCTGTTGGATGTGAGCCCTGCCTGCTCTCCAGTGGTTATGGGAACCTCCCTATGAGGGGCTGATCTATTTTTAACAAGGAAATACTTCCATCTTGCATGGTGTTAGAATGCTGGCATTCTCACCATGCTAGAGCCCCACCTAACTCCTCCTTAGAACACCAGATCATTTTACCTACCAAGTTTCAGAGGCATTAGAAGGAGCAATTTACTTGGATCTGGAGCAAGAAATAAACTTGCTATAATAAACGTATCTCTTTTCTTCTGGTTAGACGGAAAGACCAGCTGTTCTGACTGCCAACACACCATACTTGTGTTCCTATAGAAAGGTCCTCTGATTCTTTTGCTTTCTCAGCAAAACCAACTTTCCTGAAGGAATGTACTTTATACCGTACAAAAAATATGTCCTTCGAACTTAGTTAAGTGTGGGATGCCTGCGTGGCTCAGTTGGTTAAGCATCCAACTTCAGCTTGGGTCATGATCTCACTGTTCCTGAGTTCAAGCCCCACATCAGGCTTCCTGCTGTCAGCACAGAGCCCTATGTCGTGCCCCCCCCCCCCCCCGCCTTGCTCCCTCTCTAAAAATTAAACATTAAAAAGAGAGTAAGTTAAGTGCTAATTTAAATGATCCTTCTCTACTCTTTGCTCCAAGTATAAAAAGGCACTGCTTACCTGGCTGGCTCCTTTGTTGGTGCCCATCTGCAGACTAATTGTGGTCTGGTCAAAAGGTTTGTCAGTTTGCATTTTGGGATCATAAAGATGCCTCCTGGTCCCATAGGCCGTCATACCTGCCTGGCTGGCGCACTTGTTGGTTCCCATCTTTGAAGTTAAAATTAGCAATGATTATCACAGGTCACCGCCATATATGACAAGCAAAACTTTGTGTTCTACTAAAAAGACAGAGGGGCACAATTGACAAGTCCCTTTTTGTGCTGAGGCTAGCTAGATACAAAATCTCCATGCTTTCACAACTTTCAAGGTGCTCACTTTATTATTTTAACTTTTTTTAATTTATTTTTTTTGACACAGAGAGAGAGATGGAGCATGAACGGGGGAGGGTCAGAGAGAGAGGGAGACACAGAATCCGAAGCAGGCTCTGAGCTGTCAGCACGGAGCCCAATGCGGGGCTCGAACTCACAGACCATGGGATCATGACCTGAGCCGAAGTCGGACGCTCAACCGACTGAGCCACCCAGGCGCCCCCAAGGTGCCCACTTTAAAAAGAAAAATCTCAAGGTTTTAGAGGGCAGAATTATGAATAATTACCCCTGCTCCTCTTCTCCCTACTGTCTATACAGCACAGATAACCAAATTAAGAGGTACTGCATCAGCCACTTAAAGGGACAGAGGCACTCTGACTAGGCAGCATGCTTTTCTACTCCAGGGGTTTGTATAAAAAGTGACAGCAAATGCCAGGTGTCTTCTCTGGCAGCTCAACAAGGGCTTCTTTAAAGTCTCATTGAGATCACCAGCATCTTCATGGGAAAAGGACCACATTTGATTCCTCCAACTCTCATGTCACCGGAGAGAAAGAGTGAGGAATGTGAACTCAACCAAATTCAGAGGAACAAGAATTCTTTTCTCCACTGAGAATATGGCTTTAAGGCCAACCGATATACCCAGTTCTATTAGCTGGGGACACATTTCTGATGGGTCTTTTTCCTTAAAAAGGGAGGGAGGAAAAAAAAATCATTACAATCCTACCACCCAGATATTAGCTGTAAACCTTTGTGTGTGTCCTTCTAGGCTTTATCTTCTCTACCTGTGTATATATTTATCAATACACATGCATGTAAATACATGTACATTCAAAAATAGGCATGTGCATCTTTAAAGTAAAATCGTGATCGCACTGACCATTGTATTTTGTAACCTGATTTGTTTTCCTTAATCTTTGAATTCTTGTGTATCATTTTTACCTTACTCTGGTTCCTTCTGTGTGGTTATAATTTAACCAACTGACTACTGTTTGGAATTTCAGGTTTCCAGTTTCTTACCAGATACGATTTTGTCGTGTACAAAAATAAATCCACCTCACATGATGCAGTGGCCGCGAGGGCACACTTCTCAGTGGTGGTTTCGTGACATTCTCCAGGGGAACATTCTCCAGGGGAAAATACCCGCACTAAGTGCTTCCAGTAGTGCTTGGCTGCTGTATTGTGCAAATAAATGACTTCGGCATTGAGGTTTTATAAAATTGCCTCATTTGGTCAGTATCATTTAGGAATTTATAAAACACGTTTTCTTAAAAAAATAAAGACAATGTAATTAGGGAGGAAAAGTCATTTCCTAGAGAAACAATTGTCAAGTCTGATGGCATGCCTGAGGTTTCTTCTGAAACCATCATCAATGTCTCAGGGGCTTTGAATGGACATAAATTATATAAACCACATATCCATCCCCAAAACCTACATTAGCATGGATCTCATCCATTCCTTACTTATGAGAGACACACTTTACATGGTGAGAACTGACAATACCGAATCAAGCAGTAACACGTTGCTTACCTGCAAACCAATTACACTCTGGCCAGCTTTTAATTTTCCTTCATCAAAACGTCTTGTTTGTTTTTCTGCATACTTAACTCCGATGTCAATGGTTGTATGGAATCCTTTTGTCTTAGCCTAGACAGAAATTTGCACACTAACTAAAAAGGAACACTGGAGTGGAGATTCTGCCAATAGTTTTTCACAGAAGGAACAACAAAGAAACGCTACTGTCCGTAGATGAAGGCTTCACTAGGTAATACTCAAACTGAGGGGTTGAAAAACAGATTTAAGGCCAGTCAGTAATACCTGTGGCTCTGAAATGTTAAGTGTTCTGCTTCAGCTCTCTTATAGGAGGCAGCTGATGTCAGCAGCCTTTCCATAAAGCTAATAATTATGGAGGAGGCAGAGGCTGCTCCCCGCCTAGCCAGAACTCCCATGGGAAAGAAAAGACCTAATTCATCACCAACATGGTGGGACTTTTAAAAGCAGCCATTAAAGACATATACGTACCAGACCTGCCAGAGCCACCAGTGTGGTCTGAACCTGGGTCATGTTTCCATTCTCAAAAAGATCGTTCGCTTCAAATATGTCATGTGGCTTCATGCCATAAGCTTGAATAGCCTTAATAAAGTTGCCAATATTCTCCAACTATAAAGGAAAAGAGCCATATAACTTTGGGAGCTGAACACTGACATTCACATTATCTAAACATTATAAGCCTTCGTGACTACTGTAAGATGCCAGGCAGAAAGTTACTTGGCAAGGAGTCTTGACCAGATACATACTAAGCACAGCTCTGTCTGGAAACGGAAAGAGTAAATAGTATCTTACAGTAGGTCACATAATGGTCTTTTTATTTTTACGTAGTCATTTTTTTTTTCAGTTCTTTGAAGGCTTTGAAGGCAAGATCTTCCTTAGATAGTTTTAAGAATTCTGTGATTCTGGGGGCACCTGGGTGGCGCAGTCGGTTAAGCGTCCGACTTCAGCCAGGTCACGATCTCGCGGTCCGTGAGTTCGAGCCCCGCGTCAGGCTCTGGGCTGATGGCTCAGAGCCTGGAGCCTGTTTCCGATTCTGTGTCTCCCTCTCTCTGCCCCTCCCCCGTTCATGCTCTGTCTCTCTCTGTCCCAAAAATAAATAAACGTTTAAAAAAAAAATTAAAAAAAAAAAAAAAAAAAAGAATTCTGTGATTCTGTCTGAGCTATCCAGGGCTAAAATTCTGTCAAAAGGTACAGAATTACTCACCTTAATAATTTATTATCTCAAAATATATAGTCAAAATATCCAATTTTATGTAACCACACCCATTTGTGAACTAAGACTGCCTAATATGGTGTTCTACAATCAACCATTAGTTGTTAAACTCCTTGCTTTTTCCCTCGTTTATCAATATGGTCTAGATTGTATTTCTCTGTATAAGCTGTGTCAAATACTCTCCAAGAGTTGACAGACTAAATACAACTTCTAAGCTAAGGATCTAATAATCACAGAACTAATTCTAAGTAATTATGGAAGCAGAGTAAAAAATAAAATATAGCCACGTGCATTAATTTCTGCTAAGATGTCTACTTTAATCAAACCTTCACTGCATAAAGAATAACCAGAGGTTGCAGGTCCAGCTGTTTACCTGAGGCCAGTTTAACGAGGACTCATTAACCTTCTTCACTGAGCCCGGCTGTAGCTTGTTTATGAGTCTGAAAAGTAAAGTACAGGTGACATTTATTGTTCATACGAAAACAAGGACTGGAATGTAAAGTTGGCTCCTTTAACATCAGTAAGAAAGCATTAAAAACATTTCTGAAATGTTAAGGCTTGACACCCTGGATTGGGAAGGAGGGCAGCACGGAAGCCTTGTGGAAAGGACCAGAAGAACAGAAATGGCCAAAACTTACTCGCAGAGGATTATGCCATCTTTTAAGCCCAGCTGAAAGTTGGTGCCAATGCTCATGCCTGTCACCTCTTCTATCCAGTTTCGAAGATCTTCTTCTGCCTGATGATCATACTTGGAAGCGATCTGAAATACAAGTTAACCAACTTTGGAAGAATTTTCATTAAAGCATCAAAAACTGCTGACTTCAGCTTGCTCTACTTTTCTTATCCATTAAGACCACAACTGTGACATGCAGCAAATTACACCCATTGGAATTCACTGGCAAACCTAACCAACTATTACAGCTTCAGTAACTAATAAAAAATTTTGGTTAAGGTGGTTCTTAGAGAAAATTTGAACAGTACAGGGAGAGAAGCTGGGATTGAGAAGGAGAAACTATGGATCAAAACAAGACAGATTTCCACTCATGACACACAGGAAGTGACAAGAGTTAATAGCATATTACAGTATGGCAGTCGTCATATTAAATTTCAAGGATTAAGTCATTAAACACCAAATTCCCAAAAAAGAGAATGGCAGGATTCTGACACATGCACCTATTTTACACAGTGTCTTAACCTGCCAACGCATCTCGGCCAATAGTTTTGCTGCTTGCAGGGTTCTGGTGTTTCTACGCCTCTATTCAGCCAAATGCACACTATGTGCATGTGCACACACATGCACGCACTCCTTGGTACTGACCGTTGTACTGTAAGTACAACTTACACTAAGAAGCTCTGTTTATGTAGTCTATATCCTATAAACTCACAGGAGTCACTTCTAGACTCTTAGTGTACCTAGCATACTACCTGACTTCCAAACATTTAATACAACTAAAAGAAAAATTCCTTACTTAACAGAATCCTATGATAAAGGCAATTTACAAACACAGATCCTATACTATTATACACGCTAAAACCTACTACACACAGATTTTCAAAGATCTCTTCATAATAAGACCAGAAACCTCAATTAAAAAAAAAAATAAAATTTACACAAAATATTATTAAAAACCAGTTCTCAAGCTATTCCTTGTCCTAGGAATATTAAAGAGGTCAGTCAACCAATTAAGAAGAACACAGCTGGAAAGAAGAGATTATGTGTCATTTTTCTTCTCACACAGGTGAAATGCCAGCAACACGCAGATCATGCCCAGGGGGATGGAGAGATGATGAGCTTGTAACTGACTGTTGCAGCATCTATGGAAACGGAAATGAACACAGAAACATTTGCTTCCATAAAACATGATTAGGTTTCATTACTGAAATGAATAGTTTGTTGTGGAAAGGGCCCTCAAGTTCTAGTTCCACAGGGAG